AAGCTACTTGGGAAGCTGATGAGGACATTAAGAAGAGATATCCACATCTCTTCGAGTCCGGAGAAGTTCCAAATTAAGGTACTAATCATTTTCTTGGTACTTATTTATAAGTTGGCATTTGTTTTTGCCTTTGCTTGTTGGGCGTTTGAACTGAATGGTTGATGTTACACCCTTAGCCTAGTAAGAGTAATCTTATTCGAGGACGAATGTTCCCAAAAGGGAGATATTGTAACATCTTGCAAATTGAAATAACTAGGAAGAAGTCAAGAATTGGAAATAGTGATTTTTGGAAATAATAAAAATCTGGAAATTTGTTTAAGTTAAGTTAAGAATGGGTTTTGGCCAACTTCAAATGACCATAACTCCTAGCTCAGGATGACTTAGGTGTGTTTCCAGATATCGTAGGAAATATCTTGGAATAATCTTTCCAACTCCGACGAGTTTGCGCGATTCCGAGTTTGTATGAGTGAGTTATTCCCATTGGAAGTTGGGTTGTTCGAATAAGGAAAGTCCTAATCCGGATTTTGGAAGGGTCGTTTGGTCTTTTCCATACCCAACTTAATTAATTCGTTTTTGGTAATTATCTAAGGGTCTAAACTGAAATTGGTCAGTTTACGCTTTTGAAATTAGAGTTAGGATTTTTGGAGAAAGAACGCAAGAGGAGAAGAAAGGAGAAAAGAGCCAAGATCATCGTTAGTAAGGATTTAGCTTGTGGATTTCGTCAAGGGGTGATCCATACGAGGTTTGTGAGATCATATAGCATTGGGTTAGTTCACCCACGTGCCAAGCATGATTCAATTCAGCAAAGTTATATTGATTTGAAAGTAAATCCTTTGAGTTCTTGATGAAATTTGTTTGAATTCTTGTGGGTTGTGTTGTTGAAGTTTTCCTGAATTTGATTCATGTTTTCGGGTATAATTTTGAGTTGAATCTGGTATATATTGAAGGTATAATCGATTTTTAAGTGTTTGGGGAAAGACCTAAGATGAAATAGGGGGTTTAGAATTGAAAAACGAGCAAGAAAAATTGGGAATTTTCTGGGCAAGGGCTTGGGGAGCCGCGCCTCTCAGAGCGCCCCACTTCAGAGTCTGAAGTTTGGGCTCTAAGGCGACGCGCCAGCCAGAGCGCCACAACTTCAGCTCTGAAATTGTGCTCTGGCGCCCCGCGCCTCTCAGAGCGCCAGGGAAGCCAGTTCTTCCCATTTCTACCCCAACTTTCCTTACTAGTTTCTTAGCAATATACCTATGTTTTCTAATTGATTCCAACACTCTTAGGTACGTCTAAACATCATGAAATCATCCATAAGCATGAGATCATGAACCTTGAATCCATAATTCAATTCAAGGAAAGTTAAGAGTCAAGTCTAGAAGTTAAGAAGCAAGTCAAGAGAAGTTCATAAAGTTTTCAAAAGTCTTTCACAAACTTTTTAACTTTGTTTTAAAGACTTAAGTTCTAAGTTAAGCAAAGAGTAAAGAGTTGAGTTCATTTATCCAAACCTATAAGGGAACTAAGTATTCCCAAGAGTTTAAAATGTTTTCACATTTGAACAAGAAAGGGAAACATCAATTTCCAAGAGAGCTTTTAAGCTAAAGTTTTGAGTAATTATCTCAAACCAAAGAAAGAAGTTTTGTTTTAAAACATATATGCTAAGTATATTTTGGGAGTAGTATTGAGCACTGATATGGGGATGCGAGTTCATATTAACTCAAGTCTCCTTAAACCATGTAGCCATCATGGGTAGTAAATGATCATTACTTTTTAGATGACTCCTTAAGTGATTTTAAGCATAGACTAGTGGATCCATTTAGTTAAGGCGTTCTATATGACGGCAAAATATACGACAGTTCTAGCAGCATGGGCAAGACGATGTATCACCACTTAGGCTCATAGTGGTGGTTGTCGGTTAGAGAACCTCCCACATAAACTATATTACTTTATTATATGAGTAAAATTGAGTTTGTTATTGCATTTTCTTTAATGAACTAAGTTGTTTTCCACTGTTTTACAAGCTTTCTATATATTGCATATGTTTTATTGCTTTATATTGAGTCAAGTTATTCAGGAGTTGAGTAAAGCCAAGGTAAGTATTCCTTTCAGATTCTTTTCAAACCTATGTTGTGTTTAGCATTCTAACTTGCATACTCGTACATTCAATGTACTGATGCCAGTTGACCTGCATCTTATTATAATGCAGACGTAGGTAACCAGGATTAGCATCCAGCGCCTCGTTGATTCCTAACTTGCATACTCGTACATTCAATGTACTGATGTCAATTGGCCTGCATCTTCTTATGATGCAGACACAGGTAACCAAGATCATCACCCAGCGCCTCATTGATCCAGTTGAGCACTCAGAGTCAGTTGGTGAGCCTCCTTGCATTTCTGAGGACTTCTTTTACTTTGCTTTCAGTATTTCATTGTTAGAATGATCAGGGTCTTGTCTCGACATCCCTCTTTGTTTTAGAGGCTTCATAGACAAATAGTTATAGTCTTTAGTATTATTCATTTCAGTTGTATACGTTTAAGACTTGAGTTGTCATTTTGGCTAAGACATTATTTCTTAAGTTATGCATGAGTTATATTTTTTATGTTTAAGTCTTCCGCTGAGTAAGTAAGTCAGGCCAAAGGTTCACTTGGGGCCAGCAATGGTTCTCGAGTGCAAGTCCCGCGCAGGATGTAGGCTCGGGGGTGACAGTTCCGGACTCAATACTACTGACAGAATCACCATCTAATGCCCAAATCTCATAATGTTGACGAAAATCAACTATTCCAATATAATTCAACTCAATGGCTCAAAGCCAATAAAATCTCACCCCGAACACATCAGGGACAATACTAACCATTCCCGCAACATATACTAAGCATAAAAACATTAAGGGAAAGGGCAAAATGGTCAATTCACACATAAAAGTAATTTCTTATTAAATGAGACATTACAAGCCTATAGGCTCAATAGGGTTAACTAAGGAAAATATTTAGGTAGGTATACAGCGTAGTAAAAAAAATTGTAGGTTAAAGCAAGAAAATGTCTTGATCGCATCCAACAAGTTCAAATTTTCATACACACAAGGCAAGTTCTAGATGTTTTAACATGAACGAATACACAAATGCTCACCGCACATAGCACATTAATAGTTTCAAACATTGTTACCTAACTCTAATCTTTACAACTGAACACCTTGAATGTTATGCATTATTAAGCGTTAATTTTGTTTTAAAAGTCTATCATACCATTTTCACAACAACAAAAATAGTCACATTTTTTATACAATGCTCCAATCTTTCAAAAAAAAAATTACTATTGAATCTGGAGAAACAACGCAAACCTGATTCTCACCTTAATCAAATTTATAGGCATGTTTTCTCGAGTTCAGTGATTTAAGTTCAAAAAATTAAAAAAAATATTAAATTCTTATTCAACAAAATGAAAAAGTTTTTATCCTCATTAAAAAACAGTGTTTATCCTTATTCAAAAATAAAAAAGATAAAGTTTTATTACTTCGCATTTCAAGCTTTGTAATCTGCACACGATACGTAGGTATCCCTTTTCAAGTTTGGTGATTTTTATTCAAAATACAAAGTTTGTTTATTTATTTTACTACGCACACTTGATTCTCATCACCTCGATGAGATACACAAACAACCCTTTTGGGTTGGTTATTCGATTAAAAAATAAATGAAAACTCCATCTTTGAATTAGTTGTGATCTAATTCATGTTTAACATGCTATTTAGGTAACCTTTAATAGGTTCGATTGATTTCTTTCAAAAATAAAGTTTTGTTAATTCACATTTCAAGCATTGTAAGTTGCACACACCTCATTCTCGTCATAACAATGAGATACGTTGGTAGCCCTTTTTAAATTTGGTGATTTTTATTCAAAATACAAAGATTATTCATTTATTTTACTACGCACTGTTGATTCTCATCACCTTAACAGATGCACATGCAACCCTTTCGGGTTGGTTATTCCTTAAAACAATAAAATTTAAAATATAAAAGAAAACTCCATCTTTGTGATCTAATTCATGATTAACATGCTATTTAGGTGACCTTTAATAGGTTCGATTGATTTCATTCAAAAACACAAAAGAGAAAGGAAACACGAAAAATAATAGAATAAGGAAAGTGTTAAAATGAATTCAACTAAAACACGAGATGAAACATGAATGAATTCTGAAATCCCAATACATATCCGGTGAAATCCCACTAATAAGATTTGGGGAGGGTAGAGTGTATGCAAACCCTACCACTACCTCGTGGAGAAAAAGAAGTTGTAATCGCAATTTACTAATAGTAATATTATTTTGTAGAGCATTGATCACAATTTCTAAGTATTCAAATTTAAATTTAATAGTTTCTCCAAAATTAATGAACTTATCAATAGTTACTTTAATATTTTTAGAAATAAAAATGTACTACTTAAATCAAGTTAAAATTAAAACCCGATATTCGTTAAACATGCCTTATCAAATATGAGTGAGTGAGTTATATTTTTATTTTAAAAATACATATTTAAAAATTTAACGATTTTAGTTCTTTAAAGGTGGAACCAACATTACTGTCAAGTTCAACTATATTTGATTAAGGCATGAGGTGTCTCTCTAATACCCACTTCTTATTTAATTTGATTCAGATAGAAAACATACAAATATAGAAAAGACATAAATAACTTGTAATTAACAATTTAAAGGTGATTAATAAATAATAAGTATTTTAAGAAATGTTTGTTTCTTTCATAATCTAAGATAAGTTAGTAGATCTGGGGATTCCTTTATTCTAGAGATATTAAAGATACTACAATATTAATATCGTAAGACAAATTCTACATACTATAATATGGGCACACAAATAGGTCAATTAACATATCAATGAGTGAAATCCTCCTTTATGGATGCATCTAAAAATCTATATATAGCCAAATGGAAAACAATTAGAATATAAAAAATTCATTTGCTCTATACACATATTTTATCTAAGCTTCTTGCATCTGCAGAAAAATGGCTCTCCATTACAACTTTTCCTCAATCTTATTGCTTGCATTTATCTACTTTATGCATGACCACATGATAACTACTACAATTGCACGTCACATTCTACAAACCCCTAGTTTCTCAAAGCCAGAGACACCTAGTTTCTCAAAGCCTGCAACCCCTAGTTTCTCAAAGCCTACGACCCCTAGTTTCTCAAAGCCTACGACCCCTAGTTTTTCAAAGCCTGAGACCCCTAGTTTCTCAAATCCCCAAGCCCCTTCTTTCTCAAAGCCCCAGACCCCTAGTTTCTCAAAAACTAATACTCATGTTTTCTCAAAGCCCGAGACCCCTAGTTTCTCAAAGCCCAAAACCCCTAGTTTCTCAAAGCCCGATACCTCTAGTTTCTCAAAGCCTGAGACCCCTAGTTTCTCAAATCCCGAAACCCCTTCTTTCTCAAAGCCTGTAACGCCTAGTTTTTCAAAGGCCAAGACCCCTTCTTTCTCAAAGCCTGCAACCCCTAGTATCTCAAAGCCCCAGAGCCCTTCTTTCTCAAAGCACAAAAGCCCTAGCTTCTCAAAATCCAAAACACCTACTTACTCAAATCCCGATACCCCTAGTTTCTCAAAGCCCAAAACCCCTAGTTTCTCAAAGCCCGAGACCCCTAGTTTTTCAAAGCCCGAAACCCCTTCTTTCTCAAAGCCCTAAACCCCTAGTTTCTCAAACCTCAAGACCCCTTCTTTCTCAAAGCCAGAGACACCTTCTTCCTCAAAGCCCTAGACCCCTAGTTTCTCAAAGCCCGAGACCACTTCTTTCTCAAAGCCCGAGACCCCTAGTTTCTCAAAGTCTGAGACCCCTAGTTTTTCAAATCCCGAGACCCCTTCTTTCTCAATGCCTGAGACCCCTAGTTTCTCAAAGCCCTAGACTTCTATCTTTTCAAAGCCCCAAACCCTAGCTTTTCAAACCCCCAGACCCCAAGCTTCTCAATGCCCCAAACCCCTTCTTTCTTAAATCCCTAGACCCTTTTTTTCTCAAAGCCTAAGATCCCTACTTGTCAATCTCAAAAATTCCAATATTTTCTAAAACAATATTGTAAACTTCTTCGTGAGTAACTATGGTATTTTTCAGGTGCCATGACTAGTGTTGGCTAATGAACGGATGAATCAAAAATATATTAGATGTGAATGGATAAAATATTTGACTCGTTGTTATTTCATGCGAATAAAAAAATGGGTTGAATGATGGATAATATTATAATCCACATATTATCTATTTATATATTGTACATGATTGAAATTTGCCATCAAATAAATGAGTCACTTTCTTTTTCAACTTTTATTTTGATAATTTAGCTTACGTTGATTTTCCTCATGACTATCTGTTTTTGATAAAAAAAAAATTGTAGATGCTAAAATTGAAGTAAACTTGAAAATAAGTTACATTATTATATATACTCATATAATTTGGTATTAAGTTACTTTGAAAGAAAATAATAAGCGCAAACAATGGCCAAAAAAACAAGAGGAATTTTGAGTTTTATATATTTTTCTTTGAAAATTTGAATGTAGACATGAAAAAAAGGAAATTCATAAAATAATCTAAGTATTTGCTTTACTTTTAATCTAATGTGCAAAGAATATTTTGTTTGAAAGGTAGAAGGACATTTGCACATTTCGTGTTAGTTCACGAGCAATAACAAGGACTTTTGGGTTGTCATTTGATGAAGGGAAAAGGGTCCGAAAAATACTCTAAGTCTCTAACTTTGGTTGAAATTGTTGTTACGATGCCAAACTTTATGAAGGACCTGTTACCCCCATGCACTATTTAATAATGTATTTTAAAGGTATGTATGTGCCCACGTGGACACCTTACTATTTATAATTATGCAATATTTATGATGTCCACGTGGGCACATATATACCTTTAAAATACACTATAAAATAGTGCTTTGGTTGAAATTGTTGTTACGATGCCAAACTTTATGAAGGACCTGTTACCCCCATGCACTATTTAATAATGTATTTTAAAGGTATGTATGTGCCCACGTGGACACCTTACTATTTATAATTATGCAATATTTATGATGTCCACGTGGGCACATATATACCTTTAAAATACACTATTAAATAGTGCAGGGGGTAAAAGGTCATTTCCAAAGTTCGGTATTGTTACAACAATTTCGGTCAGAGTTCAGATATATTTCAGACCTTTTTCCCTTTAATTAATGAATTATTGACATGTTCTTTTATCATTGATTGATCCTTTTTGTTAAAAATCCAGATTGGTTCTCCAACCCATTTTTTAAATGAACAAAAAACTTATCCTTTCCAGCATTAATAATGGCACGTTTTTGGTTGGCACAAAATATATCAAATACTCTTTGTGAGGATAAAATAATTTATTTTCAGTATTTGATCTCGAATGTCCTATGATTCTCAATTTATTAAGTCTTACCTATATGTAAAAATTTTATGGTGTATTAAAGTTATTATCCATGTGTCTTTTTAGAATTACTTTGTGAAGAACACAAACTCAAACACATAGTTTGCAGACCACTGAATTTTGTTTTACTAGTAAAAGAGTGTAATCAGACGAACTACACACAGTATAAAATCGTAGCTTGTCACAGAGTTGTTCCAATACTTTTTAGAGAAGAAATCTTCACAAAAATCTTCACTGAAACTTTAAAAAAATTATTGAAGGTAGAAGAAAAAATATATTTATATATTTCTCTCGTTCTTGTTTGTTTTTTCGAACGCAAAAGTTCTTGCTTACTTAACAGACACAAGACACCGATTCAAGTTGTGTCCTAACCATTGTGTCTTTTTATCATTTAATAAATTGAATACTTAATAATTATATATATTTTTTAATATGAACTCAGGTTGACCCACATAAATGATCCAAATCTATTTACTTCATCTTCCACTCACACGTGGTGGGTCTTTACTCATTCCTATTATGTAAGTTCTTTAATTGACGACTAAACAATATGATTGTGCACATCTCGAGAGCTTTATTGTTATACATATGTTAGGAATATATAATATCTCTATCAATGAAATGTAGAGTAGATTCTAGTATGTAAACCCAAGATCATTTCTCATATTCATATTTCTCACAATTAATGTCACCAAAACTACACCGTTAATAGAGGTTAAATAGTCAATGTCAATATATAGTATCCCAACTAGATTGAGGTCGAATCCCACAGAGAGTGTGGAGATAGATCTTTATAATTTGCTATTGAAATTCAAATTAGTAACTATTATTGGAGATGGGGGTTCAAATGGGGAACTGTTAACTACTTTAAACTACTTAGATTGTAATCAAGAATTAAAGATGAAGTAGGGTTACAACTCTTAGATATCGAAACTCTAACAAATAATTTACTATCAACTCATTCAGATGTGTTCAGTGTGCAAAGTTGGAGAATGTATGCCTCTTAAAGCCTCGTGGCCCAATTAAGAGAATATCAGTGTATGTCCTTTTCAGTACTTTGGTGCCGAATTAATTTTATTCGTTTATCACTGTATGTCCTTTCCAGTACTTTGGTGCCTAAATTAATTTTATTCGTTTATAAAATACCTCAAGTTAACTATCCTATCTCTAGATCAAGCCAATATATTGAGATTGGTGGCTTTGTATCCCTATTAATGATGTTTTTTTCATAATCTTAACATATTTTGTCAAGCAAGTCAGTATATGAGAGAGTTCATTATACTGCATCTATTTAAAACAATATTTACAAAAGAATCTTAATACACAGTGATAACCCATTTATGATTGAGGTCCAACACATAGCATGCACCCTCATTTTGCAGACTCCACTTGTATAGTCTATTTGGATATGTTATTTTTTGGGAAACTTCACTTGATATCCATTCCATCTTTTGGGTCTTTCCTTGTTGTTTTTGGACTGAAATCAACCTAGTCATATATATTAGCTCATCACAATAAATATTCAATAAATACATGGATATTCACAGGAGATAGCACTTAGAAAATAGCTAAATTATGGTTAAAATAAAGTGATTAGATGCGTAAATACACCTCAGATCACCACCACACAGCTAGAGTTGTTGTTTGTCCTCGAAGAACTCATCATATCCTCTATAGACCCAATACTTTATCAGTGCTAATTAGACAAGGTTACTCACAAGTCTGATTTGCATATACAGTTTAATCATGATTTAAAATTTACTCATTCAAGCAGACTCTATCAAACTCAGAGACTTCTAGTGCAAACATTATAACTTCTATATAAAGAATAAAGTTATTCATTAAGTAACCAGTTCTAACTTCCAAGTGAGGGGTGCCCTCACTGTCAAATAATTTCTCTTTGTCACACCCCGAGCCTACACTCTGGACGTGGCCGGCACTCGAGAACCATTGTTGGCCCCAAGAGAACCCTTG